GAAAAATTAACTACAATATCTTCTCCAGATACAGCCTAGGGCGACTAGGTCCCTTCCTAAAGCTGGTCGAATGCGCCAGTGAACAATCTGCCCACAATAAATAAATAAATAAAAGCAAATATAATATAAATAATCCTATCTTTGGCGTTAAATGTAGAGTTTATGTGCCCTTGTTCCATGCGGATGGTACCATCTTTCTTGACCCAGTCGTTCGGGGAAGACAGCATCGCGTACTTTACTTCGCTCCCGGTGATGCTATCAACGCTTTGGTGCAATCCTCTTGACTGGGCATCATCTAAAGCTTCAGATACAAATAAATTGTGCAAAGGTGGCGACTTTAAAGTAGTGAAAAAGACCAAGTTCTCGTTAAAATTTGTTTATTTTCCTGATGTGATTAAAGACGTGAACTCTTAAACCATTGGATATTGCAGCTGTTCGGTAACTACCGTCACAAGGTATGTTCAGGTCGTAAATAATGAATTTAGTCCTTAAACCAGTCTTGAAGAGAAATGTTGTGCAATAGAAAATCTGAAGCATACGTATGTATATCTTGTGCTTAAATCGTCCTCTGAGGGTGCTGGTTGAAAGTGCACTGGTAAGATGAAAATGCCAAGTCCTGCAGTTACTGAGTATTTGTGAGTAGTCTCTTCAAAGGAATGTAGAGGCAGGTCAGAAAGTAGAGTATTTGGAATCGAGCCTCTCGGGCTCACAACGGGCTGTCCACAAGCCGGACAGTAGAAGCGAGAAGGCTTGGAAAGACGAAAACAGGTATGCCTCCACTTCTCGATCCTCTAGATGGTGCAGATGTACTACTCGGGTGTCCTCATACACATAAAAACAGACACACACACACACATGCAAGACGGCTTTCAAGGGCCTGAGCTTGAGTTAGTTTTCGGCGACAATAGAGACCCTGAACGGTCTTTGGCCAAGTGAACAGCTCGCGGCTCTTTGAAGCCGAAAAAGGGAATTTTTATATTTGATATGTGCCAAGTCGTCTCTCGGTGCCAAAAGCTTGGCACATGGAAGAAGGAAAGTGAACGGGTGGAGAAATGGATACAAAAAAGCCGATTCTAAGGAAATAGATATCGAAAATAGGCATAAAACAAAAGTGTAGTTTCTCAGGGACTGTATGGAAAGTTGGAGTGTGGAGTGGCAACTTTCGAAATGGGAAAGAGATGATTACGCGTCTATGTTGTCATGGTGCTTCGGTGTCTGTCTGTTGATCACCAGGGTTACAAAGCAATAGGTAGTCCATGTGTAGTCCGGAGACATTCGGCTTCCTTCGCAAGATTGTCCGTTTATCCACAAGTTAGACATCACTTTTGTCTGCTTCATTCTCCACGAGGTGATTTAGCTCCTCTCCTGTTGGTTAGATAAAAATGGCAGTAAACCCATGAAACAGACAGTCAACAACAGAACACCAGCCCGCCATGCCTACCGCCAAAGCACCGGCGAAAACTGGTATCAGTTGAATGCACCCTTACGCATGACGATACCAATCTGGCGAACGCATTATTTACAACCGAGGAGGGGTAACAATTTTATTTCCAAAAACCTCGGTCTGACATCTAGCCCTTCTCAAAGGACAGTTGTAGATAATGCGTCGACGGAAATGAAGGATAAATTGTTTGTGAGATTAGGAGTCTATAAGACTCTGGGAAACCTAACATGTTACCTCTTGGGGAAAACTTGCCCATTCATTTGACGAAATTTCACAAATAACACGCGTTTGCCAATGTAAACAACGATGCTACTTAATTTCATTGCAAGTAGGCCTTATGACTTTTGTAGAACACTGATTTTTTCGTCTTTGCTATCAAGTTGTTGTATGGTTGAGTGCTTTCCATAACAAATTCGAATTACGAAACTTGGTAGCCAGGGGGGCTGTCGACTAGGTCATTGACGCTCACTTGGTTATTTTCTGTTCGAGGACCATCATACTATTCTGGAGTCTTGAATAAAAACAGTATCAGCCTAAATTGCTCAAGAGGGTATAAGAATTAATAATTGGATTAAATAAGTTTCTGGGGGCATAGCAGTGAGGCCCACCCAGTCAATTTTGAGAACATTTATCTATCGGCTCTTAAACCGCATTACGCAAACTAGGCTGATTAAGTTCTTATTCAAAAATTCCTGGAAGTATCGAAAACTACTCACATAATATTAAAGTAGCATCTTCATTTGTAGCATTTTGAGAAGGAAAAAGGGTGCAAAAAATGCCGTTTTTCTTCGGACTGTATTCTGAGGTACAATTTCCTTTGACGAAAGTTAACCTAGAGCCAACATTGATAATTGAGCAGCAAAGAACATGTCCTTGCAGGATACGGGGACTTCACATTCAGACGAAATTTTAAGGATACCAAAATAAACAAGCAAGCCGAAATATTAAGTTTATGTATCCTACAAAGCTGTTGTCGACAAGGCAAACTTTTATTTGCCATTGGACCCGAAAAAATTTCAATATCTCGAATGCGTAGGTCCCCAGGCTGAGCTACTGATAGTATTTAAGCCTATTCATATGAATATAAGTAACATAGTATATTGTAATGAAAAAATACGAGTTCCTTAATGTGAAGGCCCAAACCTGACATTCTCTGATTATAAGTAGGTCTTCGATATAACCAGTTGATTATTTATATATTAAGTATATTCACCCCTTTTGTGTAAGGTGATACAAAGACTGGTGGTTGAATTTTTTCCCACAATGTTATGAGTAGACATGACGTTTTCCATTAAATTTTTCATAGCCTTGCTTTCCTTAAAGGTATTCTCATCCAAGGCCGAAGCTCCAGTCAAACCTGGATTTGAAATTCAATGGAAATGTTGTGGGAAAAATGCAAATATCATTCTCTCTATCGCATTGAACGAAATAGGTTAAATACACTTCCTAACATAACTTGCTTTGAAAATAAATTATGTCCTGCCGTCTATTGCAACTCGTAGCTTTGTGGCGTAGAAGTGGTAACATATCAGAATCGTGTCCAGATGGAATGAGAATACCTCGTGAAGCATAAATGTGGAAAAGGTTAACATCACTTGTTAACTTTCCTTCAGCGAACAATGTGACTACTTTTCCTTCTTGGAATATTGCTTGGAGGTTAAATAAGAACTAGGGTAAACCTATGCTGTTTAAAGATCTGTATGAAAGGAAATTTGACTTTTCCACAATGTATTTCAATTTCACAACCGAGGGTGCCTTTTTCATCATAAATATTAACGGAAAATTTCGAAATCTACCGATTTGATAGATCATAATAAATCAGGTGAGGCCTGATTGGCCTTGGAAGTCATATCTGCTTTGTTTGCGACGCAATGATGCTCGTAACGTTACTACTTGATACATACAATTCAGTTTCATGTCTGGTTAGGTGTGATGATGAGGGGTAAGCAAACTTGAACCTGCTGTCCAGTCGAGACGAAGAAGGCGAGATCAAATAAAATTGAGAGCCAATACGAGATCTTCTACTCACATTGCTTTGGGAAATTCAACTATCAGTCCTTACATGACTCGTTATTACTCGAGTTATTATTCGATTGGGTATTAACAATTGTTTAATTACATTTTCGCCATTTCCGCGAAACGCAAAGAATCTGCTCATGAGGTACCGGAGCAACTAAGACCCAGAGACCGTATACAAAGTCCTTTAGCTAGTCAAGCCGTCAAGTGGTTATGCAGTTGGCAAGAGAGTTTGAT